TATACTTAGTTTTTAATAGCTTAAATTACGCAAATAAAAGCAATGTTCGGTCTCTACAATGAATAAAAATGAATTAATAATTAGTTCTAGGAATTACTACACAATTAGTTTTTTCTACGTACTATTCATCTTTAAGGAAAAATAGAAAAATCCTTTGAGTTGAATACAAGGAAAAGTTTAGTTACTCTAATCACGTTTGTAGTATTACGAATCGTTAAGAACATTGGTATTGACACGCACTTTAGAAACATTGTTTTATAGTTCGTCTTTTAGAAGTGACACTGGCACAAGCCTGGCCATAAAACATTATAATAAAAAGTATAAATCAAATGAAAACTCTTAGTAGTTACTAAGTATGGGCCCGGAATGAAGAGGAGCACCACAGCCTCAAAGAAAACCGACGTGAAACAAAGCTTGCGTTATGTTTCGTCGCGTGATTGAGGTTATCGGAGGCCCAACTTCTCCCTCCTCAATCTCCCTCATCCCCAACTCCCTATCAAACCTCAAATTCCTAATCCCCAAAAGGCGACTGCCTCGTTGGCCGAGTGGTCGCAAGTGCGACTACTGGGCAAGGGGTCTCGATTTCGATTCATGGATCGGGCAAAGTACTACTGGGTTTTTATAAATTCTCAGTAGTAGCACGGAGTCTGGAATTGTGCCCGGTAAATGGCATTAGGGTCACCCCCTATTACATGGGACTCATAACATAGTGAAAAGTGGGTGTTACATTGTACAGTGGCATAATGTACACCTCTACCTACCCCTTCGGGGATAAAAGGCGTGATGTTATGTTATGCAAAAGGGGGGTAATGGACTTGTACCGCCTCATGTCCCGGGTGACCATAAAAAAAAAACGTAAACATCTGTTTGTGTTTATATCTCAGATACAAAATTATGATTCATAGTGGAATTTTCATTTATTTTCCACATTAAAAGAATAAATAAATAATATATTATCACTAATACGTAGTACGAAAATAATGTATGCAAATGATATGATTTGTTTTTTCCGATGATTATACACATACATATAGTACCTGTGTCATGTACTGGAATGGTTGGCTAACAAGATTGTTCCTGTTATCCCTTCAAACTCTGAGTGCTTATGTACTCACATAGATTGGAATAAAAATAATGGTACAATACATTTTAGACTCTATCTTCCAACTCTTACGAACTATATATAGGATATCAGTATTACACTGTATGATATATTGTCTCTTAGTTTATTTATAGATCTGTGGTAGCAGTAGTAGTAATTTTACACTACGCATTTTGCTATAAACTTGTCTGTCATGTTAAAAATATTGTTTCCTTGTATTAACAAGAATAAAAAGATAATAGATCGTATGAGAATAGGCGACTGAAACACCCATATACTTACGTAAATAGAATAAATAAACTCAAGTACTTTTAACCACTTATGTTTTTTAAACAAAATTAATAAGAGCACTCTGTAGTTTTTGAAAATGAGACGTACATAATATAATACATACCTTTATATTCTAGATCCTAAAACAACAAATCCAAACATATGTATCATTCACTCACTTTTTTTACAAAACACTCACTTGTACTCATCGCAACATGTTCTTAAAAAAACTTTTTTTGTGAAATAGTGGTGAACAAGTAAGCGCGTATGGGCAACTGTCTCAGACTGTGAACAGCCTGGATCCCTACCACCTATCACTTGGAGCCACTTTCATGCACACGTTACTTAGACAGTTTCTATACACCCACTGCATATACAAACTATTAAGAAAACTTATTAATATTGTCATTTAGTTTACAATTTCATTGTTATTCTGATTTAGTATCGAAGAAATGCGTGATACTTTGGTAGGTCATTACCTAACGGTCATGATTTATTGGAAACCTGTATATACAGTATGTTTTTAATTTTGCCAGGCCCAAGATTTCTCCTGATTCAATTCCTCTTGCTTGTGTAGGCATTCGGAATCTTGTCAGTAGGTCGGTGAATATTTTGAATAATATTTATTTTCGATCGATTTCTTTAATCGAGCGTCTAAAAGTTTAACTGTGTGATCGATTTTTGGCACGAGAAATGCATCAATAAGTTAATAACAGCTGTGATAACAGTGTCTGGTTGATTTAATATATGGGAATATATTATAGCCACTTTTACTGTCGACTTGGAACTAACGAATACAGCGATAAATTACTTTAGTCATGACTTAAACAGACTAAACATATTAACATTTATTATAACTTTAAAACACCAAAAGGTGTTTGACTTTCTTGAGTTCTAAGAAACATTGTTGCAGTCTGAGACAGGTCATTTATATGTCGACGTAAGCCGTGTCCCGCAAATAAATCACGCGTGCTGTGGACATATAAAGACTAGTATGGACATCCGTACTCCAGAATGTGTACTCAAACAGAATAACTGAATGAGTAACACAAATATTACTATTCCCGTGGAGTACAAGAATAACAGTTACTGCTTTTATTGTTACTGTTACATAATAATGAAATAGTAATTTTGAATTAAATTTTCTTAGCATAACGCTTCTTATTCTTTATAGGATCGGTACTAGTGCTATAATTTTGCTTTATTTTATTACATGCTTTTGTCTGATTTTAATAAATTTTATTCAACTGGAGCCTCTGAGCTAATTATGTAAATAGGGTAGTTTCCTAAATTTTATTTTAACTCGTCGAGTACCGTCATTATAGACACAATTATAGAACAATAGGTTGCGGTCACCGGTGATCGCTTGGTGTTTGACAGTTTAATGTCTCTCTGGTATATATAAATTTCAAACTTTAGACACGTATTTTTTCTTTTCTCATAAAATTAAATACTTTCGACGATATATTAATTTGAAATATCGTATGACGTCACAGCGTGCCACTCCTATAAAAATACGTGTCTAATATTTTTTCATTATCTAACTGACGGACCAAAGCTCCCCAAAACTGGAAACTACCCAATTGTAACTCAGGATTCATACCTACTAGAGACTTTATAAATAATGTCATCATTGATCCATATATGTTGCTCCATTATTTATTTATTTATTTATTTTACACTTTAATGCACACAAAATAAAGTACTTACATAAGGCGGACTTAATGCCATATGGCATTTTCTCCCAGTCAACCTTTGGGTTAAATGTAAGCTCAGCGAAAATGGGCCTGTGTAATATCAAAAAAAAAACAAAATAAATAACTAATAGTAATAATAAATACTGTATAACATACTGTATAAAATATATTATTATACAGATTCATAAAATAAGGTGAATAATTTCGGTAAAGCGCTATAACTACCACTTTTTAACATTCAGGAAGTTTATGTTGACAAATTATCTAATTATTTTTCAATTTGTCTAGACTCTTTGGTTACCTAATGACATGTTACGTATAACTTCTAAGAAGTATTAGGTACTTTTAGTTCTTATAAATTGTGTAATGAAAATAAACTTAACATTCAAAACATTAATACATGTTACTGTACCAGATGAAACTTTTTATAAAAACAACATAATATAACATCACGCTTTTTATCCCCGAAGGGGTAGTCAGAGGTGCACATTGTGGCAATTAATGCTACTGTACAATGTAACACCCACGTTTCACTATTTATGTTATGAGCCCCATGTAATAGGGGGTGAGCCTTTTGCCGTATACCGGGCACAATTCCAGTCTTCGTGGTACTAATGGGATTATTTTTTAAAACCCAGTACCTAATCCTTTGCCCGACCCGGAAATCGAGGCAGTTCTTTTTAACATGATTTATTAATATAACTTGTGGGTATTTTACTGAACTATGCTGCATTAGAAATTGTATAGGATATGCTAGAAGTAAAGACTCGTAATTTACATAAGACCTATTGTCAAAATAGGTCAATTATTTGATTAAGGGCCGATTATTCCAGCGCCACTTAAAAACAGAGAAATTACTTTTTTTTATTCTGCTTTGGCAACTGAGTCTCCAAAATGAATATTTGACAATGCTTCCATACTAAAAACTGTCAAATGTCCATTTTATTAAGATTTAACTATCTGTTGATTTCAAAAACCTGGCCCTAAGCGTCTGAGTCTGTGGAATATTAATCAAAATCTGACCACAACGCAATATGTGCCACTTGATGCACTCAATTATGGTAAGTTCACCCTTTACTCGTATACTCGTCTCGAGATTACATTTTATAATTTTGTAATCTGATTGGCCGAATAAAAAAATCAGCTCGAATAATTTGCGGGTTAGATATGATATGAAAGTAATGAAATAGTGTTCTTAACTCGTCGAGTTCCGTCATTATAGACACAATTATAGAACAATAGGTTGCGGTCACCGGTGACCGCTTGGTGTTTGACAGTTTAATAGTTTTTGATTAGCTAGTTACATATGTACTACTATGAAATACATAGCACCAGTATCCTGGTGGGAAACGGTCCCAGTTTCTGTCAAGAACGTAAATAGGGTATTTGCATTAGTGAACAAATTTCGATTTTAATTTATAGACGACAATGTATTCGGCTTAAGATGTCACGAAGTAATTAGTGAAAACGTGCTTATGGAGACACATAAAATTAATACAGTAACTGCGGTCATTATGTTGCCCTGAGAGTCTTGCAAAGCGTAATTAGCGCGATAAGCCAACCGGCGGCGGCTCAAACGTAATGAAGATCAAAAGATGAAATAGCAAATATGATTCATTCCCCATTAGTATTAGTATAATATTTTCCGGAAAGTGGATAATTAAATAAATCCAATTTATAAAGGTTACCTCAACTTAATAAACGTAGTGTTAAAATTGAAAATTCTATAGCAATGAAATTATGAATACAATACAAACCTTGGGTTCCCAGTATCGTAGCGTGCTAGATAAAAAAAGGTTAAGGAGCTTTAATTACTGTCAATTATGAATGAACATTGAATTTGTCCATAATAATATTATTTATAGTCAACTTTGTGATTCTCTGTTGATTTTCATTGCGGCATTCATTGCAGAATGACGAAGTTTCTCGAGGTATCGTTTGATTATTGTGTTAAAATCTAATGCTGTACTGATTGTGTTGTGTTCTGGGTTTTTATATACTTTTGCTTCTGGTTCCCAGGTTACTTTCCTAATTGTGGCAGTGCTGTGGTCAGAATCCAACGGAACACCATTATTCCAAGGCATAAGTTTCCAAAGAGGTTTCGAAATTAATTTCAAGCCGTTGCCGAGAAACCCAATCAGTTTCATAAAAGAAAAATGGTCTCCATTTGGAGTGTTTGGGAAGAAGCATATAATACAGAAGAGGCAAGCTTTTGATAATCTTATGGCGACGGGAGCTCAAGGACCTCCTGTTGTGCCCCTTTCTGTGGAACCAGTGCGTCCCGCGCCGGTGTACGAACGAATTGAAGATCCAGGACTTTTACAGACACCTTTTTTGGTGACGTTACCACAATCAACTGTTAGGCCTGTAATAGTATCATCCCCTCTACCTCCTCCAGTATCGCCAATATTACCCCAAGCTTCTCCCAGACCTGTTTTAATTCCCTCTTCAGTATCAGTGCCGCCTAGTGTAATCGTCACTCCGATTCCTCCAGTTATAAGTAGTGTGCCACCACCGGCAGGGATCCAAGAAATTATTCAAATACCTCCTAGAAGACCAATAAACAGTGATCTACCGCTACTGCGTCCACCTTTGCCTGCGAGAGAAGGTATTCCTCCTATTTCTACAAATATGATTGTGCCCCCATCATCTGGACTCTTTACTGATATCATGCGAGTTGTCCCAGTGGTGAGTGGAAATTTAAATTCCATACAACCTAGTCTTGGTCCTCCTGTAGTTGAAGGAAATGTGGGGAGACCTATAGAAACAAATTCTATTCAACCAGAACCACCAAGAAATGGTTTCTCATTAAATGACAGTTCACTGGTAAGAGCATCCAGGGTAGCTTTATATTTTGGAAGTGTTTTCCTTCAACTTATGTCGCAATTTATGACGAATGCGCGAGCGACTTTCGATCAAATGAGTAGTCCTCCACCAGTTTACAATAATTAATTTTAGTCGAAAGTTTTGAAGTTGAAGAATACGTTAGATTAATCAATGGTGACACGATGAATGATTGAATGTGTCTTTAACTAAAAGTAAAGAAAACCAAACACAAATTTTGCTTAACAACTTTTATTTCACATAAATAAATAAATAGAAAGTATCACAAAGACTTAGTATTTAAAGCAAGGGTCTTAAGTTTAGGCTCATCAGAAGTAAATTCCTGGCCCACCAAATCCGTGTCCATAGCCACCATAACTGTAGTGGCCGTAGCCGTAACTGGGTCCGTAGAAGCCCCCGTAGCCTCCGTGGCCTGGGTACCTTCCATAGCCGTAGCCTGGCCCGTACCCACCACCGATGAAGCCAACTCCTAGGCCACCAACCCCAATGACATGGGCGGTCGCTACCGATATAACCACAGCTAGGAATACTGCTAAAAGCGTAACCTGTAATAAAAAGATGAATTAGTTTGTATTTGGTGTTTAAAAATGTCGAAAATCTGCCATTATAATACTTTAAAACTTTAAGATATTAAAATATAAGATTATTATTATAAGAGTTAAAACACAAGATCGATGGATCATGTTTGCATAGTGATGTTAGTTAGTAATGTAATATTGATTTTATGAAAGTCTGATACAAAAGTATAATTTAAGAAACTAAATAGGTATTATTTATCAGTTTTATTAACTTAATAAATCAATAATAAATCTGTGTCAGTATTAATTATTGCTAGTAAATCACTGCGTTTATATTCTTATAATTTTTATTTTATTATAGAAAATGACTTACTTTTGTGTTTGCCATTTTGTGTTGTTTTGTGTATGTCCTCGAAACACGAACTGATGTTTATATATCTATAAATTCGCTTTAAATATATATAGCCAAATGGGCTTGGGATTTCACGTTCGAGTTTGTATTAATTATAGCGGTTCTAAACATAAACACAAACACAGCTATAATATTAACTTTCCTAGAGTATAAACATAAACCTTAATTAATAAATTAAGGTTTATGCAAATTAAGTGATACGTAACTTATTAAAACGCTGTTAACTGTGACAAAGTTGGTTTTATTTTAATGATAATAATGTTTTTATTAAGCATTTTAGTGGTTAAAGGCTTACATCGTAACAGATACAATTTTGTTAATTGTAACTTTATCTAATTCAGGGTACTACTTTATGGAGCCGGAAAGCCTAACGGGTTGCCGGGGCTCCGGCTCGAAGTGCAGGAGTAGGAACGGGGTGGTTTTTAGTCAGTAAGAGTTTGACACTCCCTCTCGCCTAATCCAAGGCGGGAGAAGTCATTGAATGATTTTCCCACTTCAAAAAAGGGTACTACTTTGATAATTAAAAATGTGTTGTTTTATAATCTTTATATATTGTATGATATTGTATCTGTCACATCAGATTCATTTTCATTTATCTTCATTTTCATTGCCCACCCATTCATTTTGATTTATCTTTATTAACCAACTTCAAAGAAAGGAGGTTCTTAGTTTGACCTGTAAGCATGTATGTATGTGTGTATGTATGTATGTATATACGCGATTACCTTGCGACTGACTGAACCAATTTTGAGGTGGTATTCAGAAAAGTGTTCGTACACTTAGGTTTCAGTATATTAGGTAAAGATGGGGATTAATTCGGTTTTTTAAATGTAGTTTATAAATAAAATAATAATTGTTGCTATGTATATTCCGGTATCCCTCACAATGTGCTCATCTATATCAACAGAAGACAAACATAAAAAACAAACTTTGAGAATCGATGCTAAGTTTATTAATACACGAACAAGAATGTGCCAAAAATAGCGAAACTTTGTGATACATACATTAATTTACTTGACAACTGTATATATTAAAAACATAAGCCTACTGACTCGCTTTGATTTCTGGGTGTAACATTTTTTTATCTAGGGTCTGGATAAATTAGTTTGACAATGAAGTTGCTCTGTATTTCAAGGGAATTTGAACAAAACTGGCAAGATAAGGAAGCGTTTAATTTAATTTGGTTTTCAGTCAATCTGTTGACGGATATAGGCACCTAATACCTATGTATTATGTTCATATTTACTCTGGCTTGTCAAACGAATATTGTGAATTATTTATATTAGCCTGTTTGAACAGTATAATTTTAATAAATTAACAAAAAATGGAGAATCCATGCGTTCTGCGTCATAATTCCAAATGACGTATACTTAGATAAAATATTTTCACAATATGCGAATGAATGGAAATTCTGAGATTCATGCATAAATTCAACATTCGTGAAGAGAAATGACTAATTTGAAATACCTGGGTACGTCCATATATACTTATTTAAATGTGTCTAACTGTCTATTCATTAATGTTACTTGAAAATATTTGGATAATTTGGAAACTCAGTCTCACGGTTTGTATTGTCATAGGTACTACCACAGTTTAAGAACTCAACGTGGGAGTACTCATATTTTCTGTTTATTTGTGAATATACATAAAAGTAATACAATATGTGTATTGTATCACCTTTAAGAACTAATTGGAAAAATGATTTAAAGAGTACCTACTTTCTGCCTTGTTTGCCGATTGGTCGCAAGTGCGACTATCGAGCAAGGGGTCTCGGGTTCGATTCCCTGGTCGGGCAAAGTATAGTAGGACGAAGTCTGGAATTGTGCCACCCCCTCACCCGCTATTCCATGGGACTCATAACCTAAATAGTGAAAAGTAGGTGTTATTTTGTACAGTTTCATTTAGTGCCGTAATGTGCACATCTGCTCTTTCAGGGATAAATGGCGTGATTTTATGTTATGGCTTGACCATTTCGGGTACTTACAGTACGTAGGAACAAACAAATTCTTAACCTTTATTATATTGGTATAAATATTATGCTGGTCAGTTTCATAGTCAAGTTTATTGGTTAGACCAGTTTAGTATTGACCCGGATTATTTATGAATCTCATAAATGTGCGTATAATATGTATGTCACGATTCTAGGTTTTGAACGAAAACAAATATTTTTCGCTAGGCATAAACCTGTCTATCTAGTAACGTACGGATGGATTGAATATATATAAAAATTTAGAAGATTTCTTCTGCTTATTAAGTTTCTAATTATTTTAATCAGTTTCTGATTGATATGAATGCAGGTCAAGTGTAGAAGAGGGATATTGAACCTTGTTTTGACCTGAAACACCAGAGGCGTTGCAAGTTACCAAGGCGTTACCGGCTTTTGAGGAATTGGGAATTTGAGGATTGAGGGGGGTTCGGAGATTGGAAAGTCTGGGGAGGGGGGCTAATTGGGCCTTCGGTAACCTCACTCGCACGACAAAACACAACGCTTGCGTTGTTTCACGTCGGTTTTTTTGAGGTTGTGGTATCACTCCGGTAGAGCTGGCCCATTCGTGTCGAAGCATGGCTCTATTTTGTTAGTTTAAAAAAGAATTTACGGAAATACGCACATGAAACACTATATGCAAATTGGTAGGCACTATTCGCATCGTATGTGCCAACTGAAGAGAAACCTCTCCGAGAATTAGATGGCGTGATGTTTTGAATTTTGATAATGTAAGTACTATGCGCTTTCAGTTTTCGTTTTGCAATAGTTCACCAGTTATATTTTGTTTTAAATATTTATTTCTTTATAAAACTGTTGTTTTATCAAGGTAGAACCATTTTACTTCGGGACTTAAACGAAATATATTTCACGGTGTAGGTATAGATGGACAAAAATCAGTTTAAATGTTTATAAAAAAATAATATTTAATATTGCACCACGAGAGACACACTGGGTTTTAATTATTTCCTTAAATTATTGTGTTTGTTTACGAATTAAAAATTAATATACACACAGAACATTATGACATATACTAAGGAAATACCAATATTTGCACGAACGCGACTTTGCTCAGATGTTTTAAAATGCCTACGTCATTTTAATATTGCCAAAACTAGGTACGCCAGTCATAGTGACTCTGTGTTTTAAGTGTGAACACCTGAATTATGTGTGACCTAGCTTCACTAACAATTCAATTTTACGTTTCAAAAGTGCCTAATCATATTAAAATGAATGCTTTTAATTTTGACTTTTAAGAGAGCTTATATATTTATGATATCTACTACCTATTCGGTTAGATAAAGTATTATTGTCTTTCAGAATAGGCATGGCGACTATTTTTTAATTTTTTGTCCGTCTTTTATATATTTTAAAAATCTTCGATACCTACGTATTTTTTCTTTTTTCTCGTATCCAAAAAAACATGTAGATATTTTGAGTTAAATTGACGCGTGACGTCACAATTAGGTACGATTTCTCCGTAAGTGTGACGTCAACACGCCCCACTCCCTAACTTTAATGCGGAATAACTACGTATTCTTCTGTTAATTTGATAAAACAAAAAATACGTGTCTGATATTTTCGTGCGATCTTAATGACGGACTAATTACTTTTTTGATTTTTTTACCCTGTCGACACGCCTATTGTACAAATGCATTGTACAATACTCACTTTTCCTCCTCTTAATAACTACACAGAAGTTATGACTGACGAGAAATGAGTGTAAACACGTAACTTTAATTTTCAGGAGACACATAAAAGTGCACCCTATATAATTTTGTTGCAACAGAAAACCATGTTAGACCTTTATTTACGGTCTTATATTAAAGGCACTTATGATTTCATTTAGTTCTAGATATGCACCATCTTTTTGAAAAAAAGTCATGATGTTATTACACATTTAGAAATGGAATAGGCAGAAGTGTTTAGACCTCACTAAAACTACTACAATATAGTTGACCTCTAAACTTTGTGCTATTACTGAGAATCATAATCCTATAATATTTTATAAACTTAAAACTTAAAACTGTACTACAGTACTAAAATTGGGAGACAAAAATTAAATAAAACCACCAGTTAAAATAAATATTTAATTTTCCTCACTCACTTAAATAATACCATTTCGCGGAAACCGAGCGGTATATTTACATAGAACGTTAACGCGTTGAAAAATTTACTATTTACATTTTATTTTGGAAATATCAATAGATATGATCGAAATAATATTTTGCTTCTGTATTTACAGTGACTAGT